CATATAATTTGAAATAAACAGTCTAATGACAAAAATCCAAATTCCCATTAATACATTTTGAATATTAGCAAAACATTGGCTCAAGCGTAGCATCCCCCCCCCTCATTTTTCGCCAAACAATTCCTGCAAGATGGAACATGTCTGGCAGTGTTTTGTGCAACTTTCAAGAAAATATGGTCAAGAACACATCAAAAAAAAGAAAAATTAATTAATTTGCCCGTTGCTGTCGACGACAGAACATGAATTTTAGCCTTCAAAGGCAATTGAAAAAATTACCCGAGTATCTAATGACCATTTCCGGGCATTTTCCCTGACACACGCAACACAATATTTTTTCTTGTACATTGTAATTGTTTGTTAATTATTTTCTCAAATGAGCCCAAACTGCATATTATTTTATTTAGATTGTGTTCCTCTCTGAAAGATAGTTATTTCGACATTGAACTATAAACAAGCAGCCTGTGGGCTGAGATAGCTCTGCTGTTAGCAATGCACATTTCAATTAAAGAACAGAAGATATCATTAGAAAATAAACAATATGTACATGTATAGTATCAAAGCAACGGGACTTGCTGTTTTCAACAAGAATTCAAAAATATCAGTTTTCACCAAAAATGACAAAAATAATCATCAAAATTAAGTAATTAAAGATATCACCACGAAATTAACAAATCTGAAAGAGGTCCACATGTAGTACCTATATATGTAATATCAAAGCAATTGGACTTGCAGTTTTTAACAAGAAGTTGAAAATATCACTTTTTACCAAAAATGACAAAAATATTCACCAAAATTAGAGAATTGAAGATATCATTATGAAATGAACAAATCTGAGAGAGGTCCACATGTAGTACCTATATATGTAATATCAAAGCAATTGGACTTGCCGTTTTTAACAAGAAGTCAAAAATATCACTTTTTACAAAAAATGACAAAAATATTCACCAAAATTAGAGAATTGAAGATATCATTATGAAATGAACAAATCTGAGAGAGGTCCACATGTAGTACCTATATATGTAATATCAAAGCAATTGGACTTGCCATTTTTAACTAGAAGTCAAAAATATCACTTTTTACAAAAAATGACAAAAATATTCACCAAAATTAGAGAATTGAAGAT